GGCGGCGGGGGGGAGGGAGGGGGGGGTAGGGGAGGGAGGCGGCGCGGGGGAAGGGGCAAAGGGGGACCGACAAAGGAGGAGGAGGAAGGAGGTGAAGGGAGGGTAAAATCGAGATTTTAGACTGGAGGGGTCTGGACGTAATTTTTTTAAAAAGGGAGGGGCTGCAGCACATTAGGGAAAGTAAGGGGGGCTGCAGCACAATAGAAATTGAGTTTTTGAGCCTTGAAGTAATTTTTCCTTATAATTTTCATAATTTTTTAGGGGTTTCTTGAAATTTTATGGGTCAATCTGCAAATAGAAATAATACAAAAAATATAGATTGGCTTCGAGGGATAATGTGAGTCAATGTACAATTATGGGGTAACATCATTGTGTAAATTAATTGTAAAACATCAAAATATTTTGGAGGTTTTTTGAAATTTCCAAACCTATCAGGGGTTTCAAAAAGTATTGGGGCCTCATACCAAGCAACCAAACTTATTGGATGTTTATTATATTTAAGCTTTAAAAAGTTAAGAAGGTCACATGACAATGTTTTGATACGTAAGACCAATGGTAAACAAATCTCTCTTCATATATAAAGAAAAGATTTATTATAATTATGTGTTTAGAGAATTTAGGTTTACTACTAAAACATCCAAATTTGTTGCAGTAAAATTTAGCATTTAAAAAATTAAGGATGGGCACATTAAAATTTTTTGAGGTGTAAGACAAATATTAAACCAGTCATCTCTCTTATCATATTCCCTTTAAAAGCACGAGTTCAGGAAAATTTTTTAGTAGACAAAAATACTCTTAGAATTTAAATATTAATCCATTAAGTAAGAGTAAATTGATGAATTCTTATTGGATATACATAGTATGAAGTAAGGATATAGTTTAAATTGAAATGTAAAACCTGAATGAAAGAGAAGCTTAGGTAAATTAAACGATTTATTAAATGCCAAATTTACCCCACTCGCTCTTATATGTGATCAATGATCAAACTGCAAACAATTATTTATGTGCTACATGATTAATAATGGCAAAATAAGAATAATTATTCATATGCTATATGATTAATAATTACACACAACGTGACGATCTCTCACCGACTAAAATTCAAGTAGTTCACGGTACGCTTAAGTTAATTAGACGATTTATTAAATGCCAAATTTACCTCCTCACTCTTATATGTGATCAATGATCAAACTGTAAATAATTATTCACGTGCTACATGATTAATAATGCCAATCTGCAAATAATTATTCACATGCTATATGATTAATAATTACACACAAAGTGGCGATCTCTCACCGACTAAAATTGAAGTAGTTCAGAGTACTGCATAGTTAGTTTCAAAATTTAATTATACTATTATTATTTAAATAGAACTCTATTTATAATTGTTATCCTCTCACATGCAACATCATATACCACTATATATAAACCAAGAAATTATAATAATTTCTATAGCACTTTTATCTCCTTCTATAGGCATGTGCCTTTGTTATTAGATTAGATTAGATTATTTTAAAGCAATTAATTATATTGTATATTTAATATTTTTTAGATCAATAAATTAAAATAATTTCCATAGTACTTTCATCTCCTTCGACAAGTGTGTGTCTTTGTTACTTTCTTCTTATTAGAATAGATTAGATTGTCTAAAATTTATGAATTATAAAATTGCAACAACTTTCACAGTATTTTTATTTATTTTCTTCTTATTAAATTAGATTAGATTATTTTAAAGTAATTAATTATATTGTATGTTTGATTTCTTTTTAGATCACAAAGTTTAATTATACTATTATTATTTAAATAGATACTGTTTGTATAAAAGTCAAAGAGAATCTCACATGTATTATGATACTTATATATGAGTTTTGGTTAAAATAAATTTCATGTTTGGGGTTAACTTATATGATCCTACTTTAATCAGATTAGGTAATTTAACATTTGTTCTTTACATCCAAACTCTTCCATAAAACCAAGAGATTTTCAAAATTAATCGTGGGGGGTTGCTTGCATTAAAAAATTATGCCAGAGGGCCCATACAGTTGTTTTATAGTTTAAGATTGTCAACACATTTTGTCTCTTTGCATATTAATTATAAGTAATAATATAATTTAATTGATCCAAGTATATCCTAATATATTCCTGGACTCTTTTCTTATCTTTTGCTCTTTATCATGTACAAACCTAGCGATTCTTATTCAATTCCTTTTTTTTTTCTTTTTTGTCTCTTGACATTGTCTCTTGTTCTTCATTATGTACAAACTCATTTCATGGATTAGAGTTATGATTTTTAAGGGGGGAGCAGAAGACAAATGGATTGATTTTGGTGTTGGACTTTATTATTTGAAGAGATTAATTTTAATAAATTCAACTCCAACCTGATATCACAATTGATGTAGATGATGAAGATGCTACTCTAGAATTGCCTAATAAAAAGATAAAGATGAAGAAAGATTGATCTAGGCTCAATTAAAATATAAAATAAAAAGAATAAATGATAATATTTTTTGAACATTTTATACTATAACTTAATTTTTGAGTAAAATTAGGAATTTTTAGAAGGATTTTTCATGTAAAATTTTTTAGTATTTTTGTATGATTATATGATTACTTTTGTCACATAAAATTATACTATAGTTACCATTAATCTTTAGTTTTTATCTTTTTATTATTTTAAGTCTATCAAATAATGTAGGTTGAGATCTCACATTTATATATATATATATCATGTTCATCATACTTCTTTTTTTATGTTTGCTTTTGAGATTGTTTTTTATAAAACGTGAGCTTATAATGTTGAAAAGTACAGTGTAATTTTATTTTCAATGCAATAAGAAATGTTATTTTTATTGCTAGAACTATAGTTCATAATGGTATTGTTATACATTCTTGACTCCATATTATAGCTTGGGATTAGTAGAGTTCAGAATATGACATGTAGTATCAATTTAACTTATTTTTACTATTCTGCTTGAAGATATTATTATGTTAAATAATATTTTTTTCTGTGAAAATTAATTATGATATCCCAGTTAAGTATATTGATCCTAGTTTAGCAAAAAAACCATTACATCAATTTTTTTATAATTTTTAAATAAAAATTATAGCAAATCTAATAATTAAAATAAATATGACTTATTTATAGTAATAAAATAAAAACATAAATTATTTTGATATTTAACCACGTATATTGCACGTGCATAAAAACTAGTATATGTAAGAGAGAGAGGGAGAGAGGGAGAGAGGGGGGGGGGGGCAGAGACGAATTAAATACATGATTATTAGATTTTTTTTCTTTTTAGTTATGGATAGTTATGTCTTAATTAGAATTAATTAGAATTGTTAAATATTTGACTATAATTAGAATTTGTTAATTATGGATATATTTAATATGATAAGGAATTTACCTTAAACTTAAGATTAGGTATCCACATATCACCTTATGATAGGATTGCGCTTATCATTTTTTTAGTATAACACGCTCAATTTTTTCTGTGTTTAGGAGTACTATCAATTTAAATCTCTTTATACATAAAGGAGGGACATCATATATTCACTCCTTAAACAGCTATTGTTCTACGCTGTCTAACTTGGTAATTTGATTTGTAGTAGCATCCACAAACTTATGGCATATATAAATTCTCTTGGCTTCATCCTTTTCTGGACATTTGTGTTATAAATAATTCATTCATACAGCCACTCAGGGAAGACAACAGCAGGTCAACTACAATATCCAAGCGACTAAAAATTCATCCTGAACATGACCACAAATATAACCGAATAGGAATCTTGATGATAGAAATGTTGGCTGATCTCATCCAATCATCATAACTAATCCAATCCTCACAGATTACATCCAGGTAGAACAAAATTTATTAGATTTTATGATCTATATAAACTTCCAAATAACAACTCACAGGCATAGCTTGACTGTCTTTTATCCAACTTAAAGATATAGAACGGATCGCCAGGAAACATTGCGAAAATTTAAGCCTGACACAAAAAGTCCTGATTTACTTCTACAGAGAACACAACCAAAATGACTAGGAATTTTTAAAGACTTCAATCGTTGTCATGCTGCGTATCATCAAAATTCCTTTCATGCTTATAGATGTCAAAAAAAAACCAAGTCTACTTGGAGATGTGTGAAACGATTGTGGCAGATCTACAGTGTGAGGTTGTCAGGGTTTTCAATGATCTTTGCAAATGTCTGGAGGAAGGCAGCTAGATCAGCACCGTAGACAATTCGGTGGTCTGCTGTCACATTCACCTGAACAACATCAGGAGGAAAGTAAGTGAACCTTAATGAACATCCATAAACTCCAAAGTATAATTTTAATGCTTAATAGGATGTTGGCTTTTCATTGGCATCAAACAAGAATACATGGAAATGGTTAAGAAATTGATTTTTCACAAATCAGGGCAGGTTTTTTTTATAAATCTATGCAGTTGCTTACATTCTGTAAATAAGAGAAACAATATGAGGTATAAATATAGCTTCTCCAAACACCAGAAACAGATGAGTTAGGCAGAACTGAATCAATGTTCCCCACTACTTATTGATCAAAATTAGCATTGAAGAAAAGTAGCTCTGCAGAAATATGTCTTTGAGAAGCATTTTGTTAGAATGTTCTTAAAAAAGGTCCATGCGGCCAATTAATCAAACGATTAAACTGAAATAGGGGTTAAGCCGCGTGGAATTGGCATAATGCGGTCCGTTATGCGGACACCTGCATAAACGCGTGCGTTTTTTTTAAAAAAACGCCCACATAACGTAGTTAAATGAGCATAATTCAAATTTGGGAACAAAATTTACCCAACCCCAACCTGAAAACTTTTAATTAAAAAAAATCCTAACCCTCTTCCTTCTCTTTCGGCCTTGTCTCGTGCTCACTGAAACCCACTGCTCCCCACTCTTTTTACTTTCTCATTAAAAAAAAACGCCCACATAACGTAGTTAAATGAGCATAATTCAAATTTGGGAACAAAATTTACCCAACCCCAACCTGAAAACTTTTAATTAAAAAAAATCCTAACCCTCTTCCTTCTCTTTCGGCCTTGTCTCGTGCTCACTGAAACCCACTGCTCCCCACTCTTTTTACTTTCTCATTTTCATTGAAACCGTATTCCCTGCCTCTTCCCCAAAATTCTCACTGAAAACCGCAGCTATTTATTGTCGGTGCTACTTCACTCTCCCCAACGTTACGATTGAATTTATCAGTTTACTTGTTATTGTCCGTTACTTTTGATGTATGGATTAAACTTTTAAGTAGTTAACTAGTGATTGATTGTTAAGTTGCATGTTTGCTGGTCTTTTTCTTAGATGCATAATTCTGCATAATTCGATTAATCCAACGCATAATCTGACTAATTATTTAGCGCTCCCAGACCATGTGCATAATAAAACCGTGTTTTTGAACATTGTTGTTAGGAAATACCCAAATTGCTGAGAACATGATCAAACAATAAGGGGTTAATGGTAAAGCGATTCATGTAATATAACTCAAAATAGATTATCTCTCCCTCCATCTTTGCGGATTGATTCTATTTAACTTTATCTACGTCCCGCCCTGCAACCCCAGGCTTGCGAACCCATTAGCGTGCAGTAAGGCATGAGACCTACTAAAATCAACTCATCTTTAGCTCAATCTACTGCCAAAAGGTACTAGCATTGGTTGCCCTTTGAGTTCATTGTTTAAATCCTCATAATTATTTACGAACTCTCAATGTGGGACTAAAGATAGGGCTTTCACAATCATCGCACCTTACAAAGGCAACTTCCTGTCTGTTCCAGTATCACCACCAGACAATGTGGACTCTAAACGTGACTCATATAGATGCTAATGGTGGCTCACAGTGCGCTCACGTGGTATAGCACCTAATCCCGTATACCCCTTTAGTCCCACACTTCTAGCTAACTAACTGCTATTATATCATTTGTCACGTCCAGGCCCAGCAAGCATATTGCTATGATGCAAGTCGTGAGACCCACTAAGAGCGGCATGTTGTTTGGCTCAATCCAATGTCAAAATTGGCTAAGCCAATTCTATAATTAAGACCCTAACTTACTATTATAGACCCCTAACTTACAATCTAAACCATATAAGTTCGCTTTGAACTCTTGCTGTGGGACTAAAAATGGGGATGTTACAAACTTGGTCCTTAAACACTAAACTCTCAACAGATAAACAAGGATGTATAGAAAAAGTCTTCAAGAGTTTATGATGGAAAGAAATAAGTTAGCCAAAAAGGCTTGGATTGGACAACACATGTGATAATTTTTGAAAGGAACATTAAAAATGATAAACTTCACAAAACCCCCTTTAAGTTGGTCGACTTTGAGATAACCCCCCACACTCAAAACTTTAAAATGCCACTTAATTCCTTTAAGTTTGGGGTGTTTCAAAGAATTCCCTAGCACTTTCAACTTTTTCAACTAACCCCCTTAATGGTTGGTGTACCAAAATTACAAAATACCAATTTCACGTTAACACTCTTATTATCAAATTAAATTAATGTAATCACTAGTTGAATTAATTAAATGCCTAACCATAATCCTAGTCTAATCCTAATTAGATGTTAAAATCACCTTTACAATCATTAAAGAGGACATGGAAGGGGTCTCTTTTCCATTAGGCGCATTTTGGTCATTTGGATGCACGTGAATTTCTCGTGATAGTCAAATCTAATTGTGCTAGTTAGCAGAGTTATTTGAAAAAAACCTATAGGTGGAAGTAAATGGCATTTCTAAAGTTTACAAGGTTATCCAAAAAACACCCTAACTTAGGGGGGATTTTGTGAAACTTACCCTCAAACAAACTAAGGGCAAAATAAAAGGTTGAAACTTATAATAGAACTTTCTCCCTAGGGTTATCTATGAAGTTAAGTATGTACTATGAAAGGTTAATCTTCTCTCCATATATTTACACTTCCTATTTTTCTAGAGTTGGAGAAAGGTCTCTTTCAGAAAATTGGCCACGAATTCTAATAGCCTCGGCAAATGTCCAAAGCAAAGTAAAAGGGAGGATATTTCTCCATGACCTCATATACTGAAGAAGTACATAGATATTGGTTATGACCTATGTTACCCGGACACTTCATTTTGGATGTTTTATCCGTGTCGAACACAGATTTACAACGGATATGTCATGAACACATGTGGCTCAAAGAGAATTCCGATTTTTCCATAATTTATAACCCTAAACTTTGGTATATCGGGTTCAAAAACAATAGAGTTTTGAATCTGAAAGCTGAAACCCATCAATTGAAGATCTGAAGAACACTGATAGTACCACATGCGATCAAAACTAAATTCTATTCTACCTTTTCTTCTCCGTTCCCACTTCATCTTCTTCGAATGCACAAAAGGAAAGAAGGTCTCCATTTCCCGTTACTCGACGACGACAAAAGATCTTAATAGTTAATTCTTTATTTGATTAACTTAATTCTTAGTTGTTATAGATAATAATAAAAATACAAATATTATAAGTATTTTAATTTAATAGTTACTGTAATGTAAATTACAAATACATAGTCATGTCCCTGTATCCTACCTTTTACAAATGTGTTGTGTCTTGTGCTTGTGTCCGCACCCGCACATGTATCTGTGCAACCTAGGACATGACCATAGTTGCATGGAGCCCAATTCGCTCTAGTTTACAAAAGGGGACACGAGCGTGGTATGCTACTTTGGAATCAGGTACATGAAGGGTGGGCTTATATGGTAAGCTAGGAAACATGATACACTTTAGGTTCAGGTTTTCCAATGTAGTAATTTGAATGTCTTAATGTACAATTTTCTATAAGGGTCAAATTCAAGGATCTATAATGGTAAAAGAATTTCTAATTGCAAGTAAAGTACGCTCTTTGTTGTTTACTTTTCTAAAAATGTTCTTCTGAAAATGTTAATTAATAATTTAAATATTATATCAGGTCGCCTGCTATGAACCTAATTACCCAATTTTCTAGTGTACTGCGTTCCGGGATGATTGAACCGGGGTCATGGTTCGCTATAGTGTCCCAAGTTCCCGACATCTATGTGCAGGCCATAGGTTAGATCTAGTCTTTTAAGTATCACTACACATTACTCGTTCATCGAGGCCTTCTACATTCTATAATATTTAGGTGGTTATGTTATACCCTCAATGGAAAAATGAGTGCATACAACTTGGTATACATAGGTAGCTCCTTAGACTTCTGCACAAGCAATTTCACGATCTTCACACTAAGAAACTACCCAACTCCTAGAAAAGAGAGGTTTATTTCCCTTTAAAACCTGTTACATTTAAGTTTGGCTAGGGATCGTTTTCTTCTTATGTGTTACTCATATTGGCGCATAAAACATAGTTACTGAAATAAACAAATTTTAGAAAGTTTATTATAAATTAAAGTAGGGCATGCAACTTGACATGCACCAGACTGGAATCACTTCAACGTATTTGAACTGCATCTGATTCAAAGCCCACTACAACCAATTCCAACAGATTTATTTGAAACTGTCAACATACATCAAACTGCTTCTTTAAGTCAGTCAAAATAATTTGATAACCAACTAAATATTTAAAAAGCAAGCGTCAAATGTACATAACTACTTTCTCACAAGTTACCATCCCAGTCATGGAAAATATATTGAACAAGTTCAGTTGGAGTACGACAGAGATCTTTGATTACATCAATTCACAACTACTCACGGCTTATATAAGACCCTTTTACTTCATGTCCTTTTAACCCTTAAAGACGAAGAAGAAATTTCCTGATTTAAAATTGCAAATAGACACTGTTGATCTGTTACTGACAGAACCGTAGTCAAATATCTAACGGTTTTAACATGTCATAAATCTAGAAGAAATAAATCCAGGGGAATTACTCAATACTAGTGGGAATAGAAAATTTTCAGCAGTATGCTTTACAGGAAAAACATACGCTGAAATTAGTATTGTACTACTGTGGTGAATGAGGCTAGCCGACCTCAGACATTGACATATGAATTGCTGATGAGGAAAAACCCTGAAGCTAGAGATCAGAAGCCAGTTTAGTATTATTTGCTGAACTGCTTCTTCTAACGAACAAGCTATTGACATTTTTCTAGGAAAGAAGCTTTCAGTGGCAAAAGTGTCTTTAATAAGCCACAAGCGTTTCTATATTTAAGGATAATTATAAAAACAGTGTACTAATTATATCATTTAGTTGTCATAAGATGAATTAAATACCAATGGGGAAGAAATCCAAACAGTATACCTATAAAAAGAAGGATTGAGCAGAGCAAAGCCAGAAGGCAAAGGGTTGATATTCAACTTAGATATCATTTGCATCAAATTAATGAAATTCTTCAGTACCTACACTAACTAGGATGTGTAACAATTCATAACCTTACCTATGCACCTGCAGTTCCTCCAAATAAGGTGACACCAGAAGAACTTGTGACCAAGGAAAGAGATTAAACTTTAACTTCTCCAAAACAAACTAAACCTTGCAACTACTGCGCTATGATGTAATGTCAGTGAATGAAAAATAACAACTACTACATATTTAATTTCCAAACAATGATTTATCAAGTACATTAACAATATGCAAGCAACAACAAAGCTTCTATTGATCTCTAGGGCTGGTTGCATGGATCATTTTCTTGATTCAGTCTAAGGCCATGTCCTCCTTCAGATAAATAGTTATCAAACTTTCCACAATTTGACCCAAGCACACTTAGGTTTATCCTACACCTTGTTCTATTAACTACAATTCAGTTACTGTGCCTAAATGGTGCATAAAAGATCATCCTTCAACTAATATATTTAAACCATCCAAAGGTTATCCATGAAGTTGACTCAAGTACTCTGCCCAGTGAAGTAATGTTGACTTGAAAGGAGACGCGAAAACTTTTCAAACTCAAAAAGTACGGATAAGGATCATGCATTTTGGTTTTCTATAGATAAAAATAGAATCATTTTGTTGAATCCGAACCCTCTAGCATGTAGGCTGTAGATCCAGCCTGGTCCAAACCTACGGAAGCTCCCAGACAACGGAAGGTTCTGGGACTGACCTAGGTATGGAAATGCCCGGTCCAATTACAGTTTGGCCCTTGAACTCGAATAAATTCTCTAAATACATTAATATATACATCAAATACAACAAAATATAGTCCTATATTTAATTGCTCTTCAACGTTTGGGAGGCTCATTTAGTCTCTCACACCATCAAGATCTAGACGAGGTTTCTTCTTCCTTCTACCAATTCATTAATGACTTAAAGATCTCTAGATCCAAAAAAGTGAATGTGTCTAGTACTTGCGTAACTTGCTTATGTAGTTCATGTAGATTTCTGTTCATGCAGATTGCAGATGCAATTGTATTACAAATTACATCCTTTCTGCCTTGTACGGTGGCTTTAGAATTTTGTTTCATTCATAAATATCAATAAGAATTTCAACGAAAAGCATAACTTTTTGCAAGAACACTAAGAATGTGCACCTAATATAAAGAACTTAATATCACAGATTATTATTCACACAAATTCAAATGGACAGGCAATGCAGATCAAATGCCATATCATATATAACATAAGAATGCCTCCTAGTTTATAGCAGCAACATGTTGCATTGATGCAAAATGGGACAGTTTATCAAGTTAACTTACCAGCATTTTACTTTTCACACTGAAGAAACCATCCTTGTCAGCCACTGGAGTGGGCTTTGATGCTCCAACAGCCATAATAGCCCCCTTTCAGAAAGTTAACCAACATCATTAAGAGCTCACATTCCAGTGCGCTAAACATTTATTTTAAAAAATTACCTGGCCAGGAGGAAGTATGGCATCAAATCTGTCCACTCCAAACATACCCAAATTTGACAGAGTAAAAGTTCCTGTAAAACAAGTTAACAACTCAATAACAGTTTAACTCCTTGATAAAGAAGAAAAGCAATGAAATTTCAACACAGACGAACCTGAATTGTATTCATTTGGTTGAAGCTGCTTAGAACGAGCTTTGCTTACCAATTCTTTCCATTTTTGAGAAAGCAAATAGATATCCAACTGCGTTTTTAACAATTAGCTATAGATAGAACATAATTGTGTATGATATTCAGTTTTGGACATCACTATACTGACCTTATCAGCATCTTGTAGAACAGGAGTGATTAATCCTCCATCAATTGCCACTGCCACCGCAATGTTAATGTTGCTATTGTAAGTGAAGCTCTTTCCATCCTTGCAGCTTGCATTCACAACTGGATGCTGTGCAAGTGCCATAGCTGCGGCCTTGGCCAACAATACTGTCATGGTAACACCCTTTGGCTTGACCTAATTTTGTTACAAACATCCGCAAATTGTTTCAGCACAATCAGTTTGATAAACTTACTTGTAACGTAATCAATTCAAATATCAGCAGCCAGCAAAGTAGACTATGTACAATTAGATTTTGAAGATGAGGACAGTCCCATCAGTTAACATATATAAAACATATTAAGAAAGCTAAGAAATGAAATTCCCTTTTAAATAATCTAAGAAACAATACAACGCTCCGAAGAAATGGAAATCATGATAAGAAAACCAAATTGTGGATTCCACTGGAAACGAAAAAATAGTAACAAGTTACAGTTGATTAAAGATTTAGTTTTTCATGGTTAAATTTGAGGAATTCAGAAATAAACTTCAAATTGAAGCTTAAATAACACACATAAAGTTTTGAGAACAGACATAATCAGATTCAAAACGTCTCAAGATCTAATTTTCTATAACTGATGAATTGATATCAAATATCATTGCAAAACATGACCAATTGACAAAAGAATATACAAGTTTAGTGAATGAAAAAGATTGTACCCTCTCGTAGAGACTATCAAGCGCATCCGTGATCACCGGATACCCAACTCTAAAACTTGGCACCAACAAACTCTCCACCATGTTCTTTGACACCGCCG